CATCATCATCATCATCACCACCACCACCATCATCTTTATCTTTATCTTATCTAAGTGTCACCAACATGTATTTAAAATTTAGCATTTTCCTTACAATGCTCACAAACATCATCATTATGACCATCATCATCATCATCATCATCATCATCTTTATCTTTTTCCTCTTTATCATCACCTTGATCATCATCCTTACCATTCTCCTTACCATCACCAATTTATTTTTATTTTGTATTTTCCTTACCAACATCATTATTATGACCCTCATCATCATCATCATCATCATCATCAGCATCATAATGCAGTTTTTTCTTCACCTCACGACTGAAATCACTTTTATTTCGATCGTTGCCTTCACTGTTCTTTCTTCTTTATAATCAGCACCTATCATATATGCACTGAAGAGTATCTTTCTCCCCTAGTCCTTCCTGAGTTTTCGTGGACCCCTGTTCTCACCCAGACGGAACAGCAGGACCAGCATTTTCAGTTTCCGAAGCCAAGCACAGGACTTTGGCTCTGAAAATGAGTTTGCTGATGATGAAAACAGCATTTTTGGGGACAACTTGAGTCGGAGGGGCTCTTTGTTTCTCCCCAGGAGTTGTGATCGCCGCCGCAGCACTATGAGCCAAAGCAGCTTCTTGTCACATCGCCTACTTCCACCCAATGGGATCAAGCACAGCTCTGTTGACTGCAATGGGGTTGTGTCTCTGGTGGGTGGGAGTTCACTCCCATCGTCACCTGTGGGGCTTCTTCTGCCTAAACTGATGGTAGATATGGCCTCCACTGGAGATAATGTAAGAAAGGCTTGTGACCTCAGACGGCCCTATTTTATTTGCCTATAGCCTCTTAACACATATGGCTTTTTTTTTGTCCTTTTCCTGTCTGTCTCACACTATGTAACTTCAATTGATGGTAAAAAGCCATACCAGTCAAATTTCTGTTATTTTCCCAAAGTATGTTATTGGTTTTAGAATTATTCATGTTAAAGGTCACTGGATTCCAATAATGTCAGCAAGCTATGCTGTAAACATTTATTTAATTGTTATGTGTCAAAGTGACATACATTCTTTAAGCTAAATGCTCACATCATGCTAACATGCTTACACTGGCAATGCTACACGTAATGTTTACCTCTTCACCATCCAAGTTTAGCATTACTAACTTGCCAATTACCGCAAAACACAAAGTATAGCTGAGGCTTATAGGCATGTCATTAGGTTATGTATAACAAAATTCATTACCATCCAACCAATACTTTCCAAGATATTTTACTAAAAGTCAAAACATCATGCTGCTAACTTGGCTAAAAATATAAGCAATGAGAAAAAAACTCATTGAGTACTCATGCCCATCCCTACTAGGTGGACGCTAATTAATTTAATGGCCACTATGATTGGCAAACATAACAGCTTCTGACCATCTGACCAGGGTGTCATTATTGTACCAAGTTATCGCACTCATTTCCATCATATATAGAAATATGGAACTTTCTAATGCGCTAATCCCTTTGCTTGTTATTCTCTTTTACGTATTCAGCTTTGCACTGTTATGCAAAGTACTGACGCTTTTATGATTTTTTTTAGCTACTGTGTATTTATGGTAACATAGCACAGTTGCATCTGTAACAATGCTTCCTATCTCCAGGCTGACACCACTGACACAGAGTACAAACAGGCCATTGGAGGAACACACCAGGAGTGTATGGACTATCTCGATGGCCCAGAGATCAGACAGAGAGCTCACAGTATAGCTAGTGTCATAACCAGCACAATGGAGGGTAGGTATTGTACACAATGGCACGAGTATCCTCTCTTGATCATATCTTCGGTATTGAAATGATAAATGGTACTTTCAGATAAAAATATATATCTTTTTGTTTTGCCATACTTGTGCATCAGAGCTTGAGGAGTCGAGGCAGAAGTGTCCTACTTGCTGGTACAATTTTGCCCACACCTTCCTCATCTGGGAATGTTGTCCAGCATGGCTGAAGATCAAGAAAGTGGTTAACCTAATTGTGATGGATCCATTTGCAGACTTAGCCATCACCATCTGCATTGTACTTAACACATTGTTTATGGCCATGGAACATCACCCAATGACTGACAATTTTACCAAAATGCTCTCTGTAGGCAATGTGGTGAGTGGACTGTAGAGGAGTGAATTTCTTTCTTTTTTTCTTTGCAAAATAGATGTCATGTTTATAAATGGTCATTATATCTTTTTTTATATTTATATATAAAGGTCTTCACCTGCATCTTCACGGCTGAAATGGTCCTCAAGATCATTGCTTTGGACCCGTACTATTACTTTCAGAAGGGATGGAATATTTTTGATGGAATCATTGTCAGTTTAAGCTTGATAGAGCTTTGTATGTCAACAGGGGCTGGCATGACTGTGCTGAGATCATTCAGATTGGTAAGTCTAAACAGATATGTGTCATAGTCAATATGTTCATATGCATTTGGTGTACAGAATCATGTGATATGGCTAATTTTACTTTTCTTTTTACAGCTGAGAGTATTCAAATTGGCTAAATCGTGGCCCACTCTTAACACACTGATCAAAATAATTGGTAACTCAGTGGGGGCTTTGGGCAACTTGACGCTGGTGCTGGCCATCATCGTGTTCATCTTTGCTGTGGTGGGCATGCAACTGTTTGGAAAAAGCTACAAGGACTGTGTGTGTAAAATCTCTGCTGACTGCACTCTACCCCGTTGGCACATGAATGACTTCGTCCATTCATTCCTCATTGTGTTCCGAGTGCTTTGTGGAGAATGGATAGAGACCATGTGGGACTGTATGGAGGTGGCTGGGATGGCCATGTGCATCATTGTCTACATGATGGTCATGGTTATTGGAAACCTTGTGGTACATTATCATCTCTTATGGTCAATTCATGAGTCCAACTTGTCTAACTATCTGATCTTTATAGCTGTTGTTATTATAAAGTACAGTAGCTAAAAGATAATGCAATCTTACATATAGTCATGTCATTTTCTGGTAGGTGCTGAACCTGTTCCTGGCGCTGCTGCTGAGTTCCTTCAGTGCTGACAACCTGGCAGCGACAGAAGATGACAGTGACACAAACAATTTGCAGATTGCCATTGGACGGATTCACAGAGGCATTGCCTTCGCCAAATCCATGCTTAGAAGCAGCTGCAACAGTGCCTGTCTCAGGGATAAGAAGAAAGGGAAGGGTGAGGACAAATCTTTGGATGAGCTCCACAAACCTTTAGGGCCCAATGGTGTCCCCAACCACACCATCAAAGACTTTCCAAAGAATGGGGATGTGACCGGAGTGGACAAAAATGGAGACAAATACATAGTCAACAGCAGAAGTGATGATTCCATAATGTCTTTCATCAACAATCCTAGTCTGACTGTCACTGTTCCTATCGCTGTGGGAGAGTCTGACTTTGAAAATCTCAACACAGAGGACTTCAGTAGTGCCTCGTCTGATGCAGCGTGCCATGTGGTAAGGAAGCTCATGTAGATTGGTCCAAATAATTGGTAGAGATGAGTTGAATAAAACGCCTTTAAAACCAAGTTTTATCAGATATATCCCAATCAGACTAATGCTGAGCCACGTCAAAGGATTTCAATGTTGGCTGTGGTTCTTGACGAGTGGTATAGTCTGTCCAGCTGTCCAGGCACTTACGTTAAAGCACTTTACCCACAGACCATGGCAACGAGGTATGAGCATGTGACGTGATGTTTCCCCTGAAGAGCCCATATACCATGACCCTTTAATGAGGAGACAGGAAAATACCAGTGTGTAGATTGCATTATGTGCCATTTAAGTCTGAGTGCTTGGTAGCAAAATGCTCTTCTTAAGGGGTCTGTTTGCTTTCTGGGGGAGAAAAGCTCACAGTGCAAAAGGAAGAAAAGAAACACTGTCTACTATATGATACATTATTGTTGCTAATTTACTTGTTTATACTTTGTAAAATGTACTTTTTAAAATTTAAATAGTTTTGCCTACAGGCAATATTTGATTTGAAAATCTATAAGCAAAATCATTGTTACTGCTTGCTTGCTGCTGCTGCTGCTGCTTTACAGATGCTCTCAGAGTTGAAGGAGACTTGTAAGAACACTTTACTATACATTACACTCATCATGGAGATTGCCTACTTCATTTACAATAGTCATCCAATAACTGTTTTAGCAGTCACTCATCCTTTTTTGGCCTTACTTTATTCACCCTCCAGTCTTGAATTTGTGTTTTGGTTGATGCTGGAATATTTTTGTTGATTCAAACATCAGTGAAAACTCTTTCTTTGCAAAATTGTTAATGCAAAATCTTTTTATTTTTCTTGATTCTTTGGTTAGTTGAGTTTACTAAATTACATTTAATTTAAAATCTTTTTTGTTTCAGCTTGTTTTGTTTCATTTTCTGGGGTTCTGACAAAATTGAGAATGGATTTTCAATTATAATGGGATCATAATCATAATCATCAGTTATTTTAAAATAACAGTCATTATGGGATGATGACAATAGATTGGTGTTTTGTAGTGATTTTCTGATTTCAGTACATAAACCTTTCTACTCACTTTAGATTTATTCAAAATGCCACTTATTGACACAATATTCCAAAAGAAATATAATATTTAATTTCACAAGGTTTACCGAAACAGAAATTGAAACAGAAATGGATGGACTGAAGTACAAACCATCATAACACTGACTTTAGTGCTCACAGTATATCGCAGTAACATGCTTACATCATTCCCTGCACTGCATTAGCTGGTCCCAGGACAGCCAAGTGCTCCTGCATTCTCCAGGAAGGCATTCAAACTGTTCTCATCTACCAGCTATTAGGAGACACACCCAGTAGAAGTCCAATCGAGATCATGTGGCTACTGTACAACACCACCAGGCTTCAAATCTAACTTTTATATATTTTATATGAGATATTTCTGCATTATTTAGTGTCATGTAGTGTTTAGAAACTGTATAACTTAAATATTTCAAATGATAGTGACTAATCCGTGTCACAATCACCTTTGGCGCAATGTCATGTCTTTGAAATCTGGGTATCCTCTCCCACATTAAGTGGATAGTATGAAGAGGTGAACAGTAGCAACTGTATTGTAGACTCCTTTTTGCCTCTGTTGATGGCTTCTGCTGTCAAGCTAATGAGAGTGCCCTAATGTTTGTTTGTTTTCAATTATTTAGACTGCAGAAAGAGAACATGCAGATGATTTTCATGTCTGCCTTTAAATATAAGATTTGTTCAATCTTGTTAAAGCAAATACTGTATTCATGCATGTTCTTTATTTTAGCCATCATACATTTGATTCAAACTTGAACTGAATGTATGTCAGTGATGCTTGTGAAGTCCTTCTTACCAACAGCCTTAAACAAGACACATGGTAGACATCAGTGGTAGTTAAAACATATCATATTACACATGTCTTGTACAAGTCTCTTGGTAATTATTATTATTATTACTTTTTTACTTTTTGACAATTACTTCATTTTGAAGAGATATGGAGTGCATGACGTGTGTGGACAGAGAGGTGCTCCGCATGTCAGCCCTTTATTTTTGCCATGGCTCTGTTATATTTGCTTATCTAACAATGATTTTACTCATCTTCAATTGCAGATGATAGAGGATGATGGCCAGTTCAGCTCCTCTGAGGGTAGCACAGTGGACGGTCTTCCAGGTGGGGAGGGAGAAGGGTCAGTAGACATTGAACTGGAAGAATCTATGGAACCTGACGCCTGCTTTCCTGATGGTGAATACTACTATAACCGCTTAACCTACTACAGCCTTGGTGTGACTCTGACACTGCATATTACACTGGTAAATCATCGCCCCTTTTGTCTCTGCTCAGGTTGTGTGCAAAAATTTGAGTGCTGTCAAATAAATGTAGATGTGGGCCGGTGGAAAATGTGGTGGACACTCAGAAAGACCTGTTACCGGATAGTGGAGCACAACTGGTTTGAGAGCTTCATCATCTTCATGATCTTGCTTAGCAGTGGGGCATTGGTAAGTCTGTGCGGCAAGAAACATTTAGATAAAGTTGTTTGTTTTTTTAAACACCTGATTTTGCTGCGCTTATGTATTTACATATTATGTCTGGCATATCTTGTCCAGGCAGTAGATTCTCAAACTGTTTAATTAAAATACCATTTCCTATGGTTTGTTATAAATTGCATTACTCACTGTCATTTTCTTTACATTCAGGCATTTGAGGACATCTACATTGAGAAGAGGAAGACCATTAAAGTAATGTTGGAGTTTGCGGACAAAATCTTCACCTACATCTTCATTCTAGAGATGTTGTTGAAGTGGGTGGCGTATGGCTTTGCCAAGTACTTCACCAATGCCTGGTGCTGGCTGGACTTCCTCATTGTTGATGTGCGTTGAAACACCTCAGCTTATACAGAAACACACTTACTTGTTTAGACAATTCTTAGTTAGTTTGTTTTTTTGTTCCAGGTCTCGCTGGTCAGTATGGGAGCCAATGCCATGGGATATTCTGAACTCGGTCCCATAAAGTCTCTGAGAACCCTGCGAGCTTTGAGGCCCCTGAGAGCCCTGTCACGGTTTGAAGGCATGAGGGTAAGAGTCACTGGATTTCCCCACCCACTCTGAGTCACGGTGTACTGTATACCAACAGCTGACTGCATGGGTACAGAACACAAGCACTCTGCAGTCTAATACAGAGCATAAAAATATATGACTTTGCAAGATACTCTAAAAAATGTGTTGCATGTAAATTAAGCATTCCTGTCCTTCCCTAATCCTCTTTCTCCAGCTGTTATATGTCCTCAGGGTTGACTTAAATATTTAAATGACACATTGATTACATGATTTTCTTCTAAATTATTATCTAATTATACACCAGTGATGCAGGATTTTGATTAAAGGAATGATTTGACATTTTAAGGGAATGTGCTTTTTCACTTTCTTGCTGAGATTGTTGATGAGTAGATTTATACTGTTCCCATTTCTGTTAAATAAATGTGATGCCAGTATATCGTAGCTACTACATTTAGCAATAAAGAGTGGTAACATGGGTAAAACAGTAGGCCTGACTCTGTACAACTGTTAAACAAATCTGCCTACCAGCACCTCTAAATCTTGCTGATTAACATGTTATATCTCAGTTGTTTAATCTGTACAAAAACAGAAGCACAAAAAACAACAGGTTGTGGTTTTATGGGCAGTTGTGTGCTGTACTAGCTTTGGCTGGGAGCAATGACTTCCTGGAGTCTCCATTGGTTGACTGGAAACCTCACGGTGAAGACAAGACTCCAGGAAGTCACTGCTCCCAGGCATGAATTAACTCCCCATAAAAGCTTGGTACATTGTTTTTTGTAGACATTAAATAAAACATGTTAATTAGTGAAATTTAGAGCTGTTGGTAGGTGGATTATGTTATCTTTTCGTAGAGTCAGGCTAGCTGTTTCCAGTATGCTAAGCTAATCTAATCCTGGCTCCACCTTCATATCTAACAGCTAGATATGTCAAACTATTCCTTTAAGTGACGCCATATCTGTCGTAAACAAGTATTTTGTCAATATTTCGCTGTGCAATGCAAGCATGGGCTAAACAGGGTTTGACAACTTATGTAATTGAAGAGGGAGGGCTTGTCAGCTGCTGAAATCAATGTAGCATGTATTGATTAGTTGCTTTCATGTTGTGGTGGTCTAGATTTACAGCACTATTAAGATCTTTCCTTACGTGGTAGCCAGTGAATTCCCTCATTTGCATGAACAGCTTTTCATGTGCGTCAGTAGGGCTTCATTAGTTTCCATTATAATTTCACTGTTTTGGATATTGTTTGCTGGGTTCTTTAACATGATTTCTTCATGTTTTATTTATGTTTCTGTTTACAGTAAGCAAATTTTGTGGCGTCGTCCTGCCTCTACAAGGTGTTCTGTTTCAACATTTCTCTGAAATTTAGTTGTAACTCACTAAAACCATTTTTACATACATAGAATCAATCTCCAGCCTCCTCTCCTGATTCTTTTCCCACCTTTACCATGCAGTTATCATTGTATTTGAGCTTTGGTGTTAGTCATAGCTGTGTTTAGCTCATGCTGATGTGTATGTTGGCTCTGAAACATTCACTCTTGTGTTTTCCTATTCTTACCATTACCATTAGTGTACAGTGTTGTGCATCTATTCTAAATTATTTCATCCCTGCCTGCTGTACATATTTGTTATGTTTGTGTGTCGGTGTGCAGGTGGTTGTTAATGCCTTACTGGGAGCCATTCCTTCCATCTTCAATGTGCTGCTGGTGTGTCTCATCTTCTGGCTCATCTTCAGCATCATGGGAGTCAATTTATTTGCGGGGAAGTTCTACGTTTGTGTTAACACAACCACAGATAAGGCTTTCCTTCCATCAGAGGTGAAATACAAAAATGACTGTTTAAACTTGGTTAATGAGGCTCGCTGGAAGAACCCCAAAATCAACTTTGACAATGTTGCCATGGGTTACCTTGCACTGCTACAAGTAGTAAGTGACTGACTTGTTTGATGGTTTTGTAATGTCTGCAATATTAAGTATATGTTGTTGGCTGTATTGGTAAAAAAGTTGCAGTGACAAACACATCAAGCGGCTAATACAATATATTTCATGGATATTGTTCATTTCTATGCAGGCTACATTCAAGGGCTGGTTGGAAATCATGTATTCTGCTGTGGACTCTCCAATCAAGGTGATCATGTTTGTTACATTTTAGAATCTTTTTATTAAATTACCTTTTGTTTTTGACACTACTGATGTTACATAATGGTCATCCAATGTATTTAAATAGTTAATGGGCCCAGACCTAAAATTTAAGCTACCTGTACCATCTGTAGGCAAATTCTAGCTGCATTTTTTTTCAATTCTTATACATTCATAGATTATACATTCATAGATTATGTTTTTTTATGAAAGACCTTGCTGACTGGAGTGGTAGTCACCTCTCTAAATCTACTGTAATTCAAAACTGGGAAAGTGTCTTCCCTCTTTCATTATATCCCCTCCTTGTGTGTGAGCAAAACCTTACCAAAATGTACCTAAAAATGTACTTAAAAATTGTTTATAGGTTCAGTATAAGTGATAAGAGAATGAATGATAGTAGTTTTGAATGAAAGTAGCTTTTCATATTTATTGGAGATTTTGTTATTTTCCCCTATCGATGCCTCTGCATAATTTTTGTTTTAGCTAGCACACATGGCAGAGGGCATGGAAGTGAATTTATATCTGTTAGTGTTGGCTAGTAGATTCAGATTATGCAAAGGCATTAATTTATATTGACACTATAAAAAAATTTGAATTCTGATGGTACCGATATCTGGTCTGGCTCATGGGCTACCTGTAATTATCTCTCTATGTATGGAACATTTAAAATGGCTAACTCAAAAGGAAACAAACAATAATTTAAAAAAAGACTACAATACACATGTTGTTAGATGACAAAATATATAGCGACATACAAACAAAAAGTCTGCTTTGAATAAAAATGTATTATATATTATATCAGCAAGGAAAATTCCACATTAAAATCCTTCTACCTCATTAAAAAATCACATCAGTGTATGTGTACTGGTGACTTCAGGTTTCTACATCACACTTGTATAAATTGCATACTGGACTAGGATTGACTTCAAAACTATCTGTGATGACACAAATCATGCTGATAAAAAAAATCTGATTTTCAATGAGCACAGAGAAACTTTCCACTTTCAGCTGATGAATGTGAAAACATCCTTCTAGTGTCAAAACATAAATCATTCTGTACAGTAAAGCTCAAACATCCAACTGTAGGAACAAAAATCATAAGTTGCCAAATCCACCAGGACTGATATGTTAAGGATTATAACTTTAACTAATGTACTAATGTCTCCATTTTCTGTCACTATTATAGCAAGACTTACAACCAGAGTATGAGAGCAACCTGAAGATGTACACGTACTTTGTTGTTTTCATCATATTTGGAGCATTCTTCACACTCAACCTCTTTATTGGTGTCATTATAGACAATTTCAATCAGCAAAAGAAAAAGATAAGTATCAAATCTGCTTTCTAAAGAAAACGTGATATTTTTACTTGATAGTTTGACAGAAATGCAATATTAAAAAGAAAAATACCATCAGTTTCTCCATAGGCAGTATCTCTACTTCACATCATTGTGATTTAACATGCCTTACATCCGCTCTTTACCTAGGAGGTCAAGACATATTCATGACTGAAGAACAGAAGAAATACTACAATGCAATGAAAAAGTTGGGGTCAAAGAAACCACAAAAACCTATTCCTAGACCATCAGTATGTACATTTAATCATGACAGCATCTAATCTGCATTGCTGCTCAGATTTTTCTGTTTCATAGCACTTAAAATGTATTTTTGTTTCTCCACCTTGTGTCTATTTCAGAACAAAATTCAAGGATACATTTTTGACTTCACGACAAAACAAGCATTCGATATTGTCATAATGGTTCTAATATCCCTTAATATGGTAGCCATGATGGTGGAAACTGCTGACCAGTCAGACGAAATGAACAACATTCTCCAGAACGTTAATATAGTATTCATTGTCATCTTCAGCGGAGAGTGTTTGTTGAAGATGATCTCGCTTCGCCATTACTTTTTCACAAATGGCTGGAATGTATTTGATTTCATCGTGGTCATCCTGTCAATCATTGGTATGACACGCCTCTGTTCGCCATGGTGCTCAAATAAATTTCAAGCATTAATTTTGTCCGTATACATGTTTTGTTTACAGCTTGTTTATTATGTTTTCTTTTCTTTCCTTAGGTATGTTTCTCTCAGAGTTGATAGAGAAGTATTTTGTTTCGCCAACCTTGTTCAGAGTCATCCGACTGGCTCGGATAGGCCGAGTCCTTCGCCTTATTAAAAGTGCCAAAGGAATTCGCACACTCTTGTTTGCCTTGATGATGTCACTTCCTGCCTTGTTCAATATTGGTCTCTTGCTCTTCTTGGTGATGTTTATTTATGCCATCTTTGGCATGTCAAACTTTGCCTACGTCAAGAAGGAATCAGGCATTGATGACCTTTTCAATTTTGAGACATTTGGCAACAGCATGATCTGTTTGTTCCAGATCACCACCTCAGCTGGGTGGGATAGCCTACTAGCTCCCATTCTCAACAGACATAAAGATGATTGTGACAGTAAAATGGAGCATCCTGGCAGTTCTGTTCGGGGAGACTGTGGAAATCCCCCTGTGGGAATTGCCTTCTTTGTGAGCTACATCATTATATGTTTCCTGATTGTGGTGAATATGTACATTGCAGTTATCCTGGAAAACTTCAGTGTGGCCACTGAGGAGAGCGCGGACCCACTAAGTGAGGATGACTTTGAAAGGTTTTATGAGGTCTGGGAAAGGTTTGATCCTCATGCATCACAGTTCATGGAGTACAATAAGCTGTCGGACTTTGCAGATGCTCTGGACCCACCGTTACGCATAGCCAAGCCTAACAAGCTTGAACTGATCTCCATGGATCTACCCATGGTGAGTGGTGAACGCATTCACTGCCTGGACATCCTGTTTGCATTTACAAAACGTGTTCTGGGCGAGGATGGGGAGATGGACATCCTAAGGGGGCAGATGGAGGAGCGCTTCATGGCCTCCAATCCTTCCAAAGTGTCCTACGAACCCATCACTACCACCCTCCGCCGCAAACAGGAGGACACATCAGCTGTTGTCATCCAGAGAGCATTCAAACAGTATGCAAGGAAATGTGCTGCCAGTAAGCCCTCTGTCACATCCAGTGATAACATTCAAAAGGATGAAACACTCATTGATAAAGAGGATCTTGTCACAGACAAACTCTCTAAAATTTCTAGCGCTGATAAGGGTGAACTGACACCTTCAACGGCCCCTCAACCTTCATGTAACAGTGTGGTAACCAATGGAAAAAACAAATATGAAAAAGACAAAAGTGAAAGGGAGGTTATGGGCAAAGATGTTGGGGAGCAAGATAAATAAAAGAATGCTGGGAATTCAACAAATACATTTTAATTAATGACCAAATGTTTACAACTTTTGAAAGTGACTGAGACATCCATTGGACTCCCTTCTTTAGTATGGATATCTATGCCAAACTGACCATGCTGACGTGAGTCTGAAGGTTGGTGCCTAAGTAGCTTATGCAGGCAGTAGTGGGACCACTTTGACTGTGTTCAGGAGCAAAGATGTCTTTTGGCTGTTGGTGGGGATGGGCAAGTGTTCTGAAAGACACATTAGTTACTGCTTTAACTTTTATTGCAGCTAGCTCTGCTATCCAGTGTCTTGAATTATTGTTATATCACTGACTGTTGTATTACTTTAGCTACTTATTTTTCAAGCAGAGAAAAACAGTTCTAATGTTATTACTTTCAGAATTCATAGTTTGGTTAATTGACTTTTTATACTTTTTTTTTACTCTTCAAAAGCGTTGTTCCTTCAGGGGTAGTCTTTACAGCAAGCAGCATTGCTTTAAGGCCAGTCTTGCTAACTGATAGCACTTAGAATACTTGACAAATCCAAGAGACCACGTCGGAGTTGCTGCAGTTAACTAGAAATGTAGACCTGCATGAATGTTTCTCCATGATTATGCATGCTAGAGTGTAGCTAGAGAGTAGCTCTCTCTCTCTGTCCGTCATGCTTCATGATGCAAAGTATACTGTCTGGACATGGCTGATTGTTATACATTACAGAAACACAACCTTAGCCTGCAGTCCAAACAAATCCAGCTGATTATGTTTGGTTATCAGTGTCAGAGCAGTAACACTTGGCATAAGTACTTTGCACATTCAGTTTTATTCAGTCAACACAATCAATCACATACTTCATCTCAGCCTGCGATGTTATTTACAATATTGCTAACTATGTGCTTATTTTATCATGAAACTGTGCTAAAAACAGTCTTCAACTGAAGGTTTTTTTCTTTCAAAGTTGGAAATTCAAGAAAAAGCTGATGTTGTTTGCACACTGACCCTGTTATAAGTTACCTCTCTTTACCACAAATCTCTGACAGTTTGCTCTAGGAGGAGAGTATCTGTAAAATTGTCTATTTGCAGGATAGCAGTGTCACTTAACATGTTTTGACCTCTACTAAATACAGGTGTCCTCCATGTGTCTACTTTTTCCTCATTTTGTCTGTTTTTTTCTTAGCTGTGTTTGATAATAAACCTCAATGTGTATGCTGTAATGATTATGAAATGATGGAGTTTATGGAACAATTTCTATTTATTACCTGTGATACAAAACTAAATATATTCTCCATGTATTTGAGCAGATACAGATATTGTGTATTCAGCAGGAGCTGTGAGGTAAAAAATGTAAATCTCCTTAAATCTTGTTAAATGGATGGTAATTTTTCTTCATAAGACAAAGCCATGTGTTTGATTACTGGTGATGTTATATGACTATGCTAGCTAACCTTTACTTCACTTTATTCAACCTTTAACTGCATATTTTATTTGGAAATGGGGACTGGAAAAAAGGGGAGATGCTCTTTTACGTTTGTGTGTGCTTTGTAAACTGATTTTTTACAGTTTACCTCTCAATCTTTATCATGATAAATATCTAAGTTGGGTGAAAAATGGCTGAGAATATTCTGAATGATTGTCTTAAGGACATGGCATCACACATCTCATGTGCCCTTGGTTGTTTCCTACTTCTGTTTACATTTTATAGTGGCAGTTGTGTTACTTTTGTCAGTTCTTCCCATAGCTATGACATCCACCCTAAACTGTGTCACAACTCTCTTGTTCCATGTTATAAAAGTATAATTCCATTCATGTAAGTATATTTTGCATGTGATTAAAATATGTAATACTTACACTATACTTTATGCATAATGAAAGAATGTTTTGATTACACAGAATTCCACATCTCCCATCATTCATATGCATAATGCTTGTAGTGTATAAATAAACTGCATGCAAGACACTGCTATAACCCATTTCACTGAAACGCCAAAAGAATAAAGATTACATGTACCTCAAGTATGAGTAAAACATTCATTTCTTTTAGCATGCTATATAAAAGAAATATATGTATTGTTTAATGTATGTAAGGGTCAGTTTGATTTGTGTTTCTTTCTTTTTGAGTTGACTGGAGAGTGTGGTTACAGTGGATTGTAGGAAAAATAACTAACTGCCCAAAGGTTGGCTCGTTATGCATTGCTTATCTTTGTTCTGGTGAAACGGTGTACTACTTTATGTCTGTCTTTTCAAATCCTCTGTTACATTAATAACTGTTCTGTCTTATCTAGCGGCATTCAGCAACATTTGTTTTTGACTTTAACTACAGTAGCCAGGGGCAAGAGAAATATTCATGGGGTGGTGAGAGGGTGGCAGGGAGACTTTAAGGGGTGGCAGAAAGGTGTTTGTGAGCTTTTTCATTTGTTATCCACGTTGTGTAGGGCCTGAGCTTTTCTGCTATTGTTTTTGCTATGTGCAGGTACAGTATAGCCTTGTTTAAAACTGTTTCCCATTTCTTGAGGTTGATATTCTTGCTCAAACACTAAATATGCATAATTTACATAATATACTGTGATGTGCACAGTTTTATTCACAGGAAACCAAAACAGAGATCCTAGGATTGGTATAAAACAATATTTTCTTTCTCTTAATATTTGTCGTCAGAAACACCAAAATAATGTAGTCTACAATACAAGTCTGCAGTATATTTATTTAGTGAGAAGAGCACTAGGCACAGCAGGGTCCAAGGGGGCCTTTCTCATATGTGTCTGGTTGAAAGGGCACCAGAGACCACCAGAGGCTGATGCCTAGCTGACAGGCCACTGATGGCAGCACAATTAGGATCAATGTATCACAACTGTTATCTCTAGAGAAGGCAACGTGTGAAAAAAAAATGTGAAAAGAGCACTTAGGCACCCAAGACAAAATGCCATGATTGATATGTGTTTATTTTACATTATTTTCCCACATGCTTCTTATTTTTTCTGCGTAAGCATGAGTCAGCCTGTCTAGCTTTGCTTAGCATCTGACAACTGTGAATGTGCAGCGATTCACATGTTTCCGTTGTAGTTAACGGCGGTTATTTTCAAATTTTTCATTGTCAATATTCATTAGAATTAATGCTGCATTTTTAGGAGCCAATGGCTTACATCAACTATACTTGATCTTTGTTTGGTAATATCATTTATATCGTGCAGGCGATGATTCATGACTCCAGTTGAATGATATTGATGAGAAATCATTGCAATAGTTTCCAGTCAAGTGAGGGGATTTCATTTAGAAAAATTAAGCTAAAGTGCTAACCACATCATTTGGAGGCATTAAGCATCCGCTTTTATAGTTATAAGCTTTATGATTGTTACAATGCTGGTAGCTACTCAACCACAATCAGCATTAGTGTCATTTCAGGACCTGTAAAATGTTAAAGTTATCAGTGTCCATTTCATGTGCAAAATGTAATGAGCACTTTAACTGTAAATGGTTCAACTTATATTGATCTGTTGGATCTCTTGGGATATTGAAAGCACTCATGAATGTATGACTTGAAATCATCTTTAGTGACATGAAAACATCAAACTATTTTAGTCAGTCATGGTCAAGAAGGGCGTTTCAGAGCTGAAAATGTGTTTGAGTGAGTTTTTCAGTGAGCAGTATGTTTCAACAAACATCTGAGCAAGAAGCTAGAATCTGGTTTCTGAGTGTGCTTTGTGGCTCCTGCCGGAAACTATTAGCATCTTAAGTGGGTGGAACATTTTATTAATTATTAATAACAATCCAAATATTCATTACAGTCCAACATCGCTTTTACCTATTGTGGCTGCTGAATCCTGAGGGCAGTAAACAGGAGGATGATAGCAAAGTGCTGATTATTCCTGCCAATCTGTCTCACAACGATGATGTTATTATCACCACACCCACTGACAGCACAGTATGGCTCACATGTTGTTTTCCTGACAAGCCAGTGAGAAGATAAAGGTTTGCTAGCTTGCTCTCAGAACTCAAGGCATTATAACAGAAACAAACAGGCCAATTAGTTAAATGATAAACACCAAAATATTCTTATTCTGTAAAAGATTATTGTCTAATTTCTACCATCAATTGACGTAAAAGAGCCAATATACATTTGACATGTACCTTATGACTGAAACCAGCACACACCTGATGGCAACTGGTGGGGTTACAGAATGCCCTTTTTAATGACCAGTAAATCAAGAGTGATTCTGCAGATTCTCCTTGCCCGGTTGCCCAGCAACATGACATCAAGCTCCTTTGTTAGACTGCATTAGGGTGGAAGGTCGGAAGTTGGTCTGCCGTCTCCACCCAGGGAGTCTGGCAAGCTGCATGGGCAATAGTATGTGGACATGTTATATGTGAAAGGATGTCTATTTGGCTCGGGATCTCGCCCACTGGCATGCATGGAAACGCAGGATAAAAAACAATTCAGAGAGAAATCTGAGAATGCTACTCATAACAGCTCTGTAATTTTATTTGCTAGATAGATGGGGAGAAAATCCCATTAGATTAGGTAGTGGTGAGTAACCCCCCCCCCTTCTCCAATGTGCTAATAGACAGACACACAGACAGAGACACACACTCACTTTTTATCTCGACCACTAAATCGCACAGATTCACACACATGCATACACACTTCAAGTGAACCACTCCCTCAGTAGCTCACATCAACACACTAACACAAATACAGCAGTTTACAGACAACATCTTATCAAGAGCAGATGATTGCACAAATTCAACCTTTATTTTTTACTGTTTTATTCTACACATTACAAGAATACACTTAAATAGGTAAAAAGACAGAAATCCCTCACCATGATCATTACCTGTTGTTTACAAGGGTAAATTAGTACCGTGGGTGTGTGTGCCATCAAATTTCAAGCAACTTTTTTATTATTGCAACACATATGGGAAAAAAAAATAAAAGAGTTCATTAGCAAGTGAGCTGCATGTATTGGGCATGGCTCTTCTGATCAATAATGGTCTGTACAAACCACAATGGATATAGCCATTAGAATGCTACAGCAGTATATCCCAGGGGGTACATATTCCACAGTCTTTCCTCTAATAGGTTTTCAAATGCATTCCTTGTAAGTGCAACAACACATGCAGTATTTATTGCTCTTTGCTAAGTGCGACACCTTCATTATGTACCGTGTAACTACTTTGTATGATTATTATTGAAATGTTTTTATCCAAAGTTATTTGGATTAATGAATGAATGAACACAAAAGAGTTCATATCAAATAGATAATATATTATGTATCATGTGTATTTCTTCTGGTCATATAATTTCTGACAATATGGGTTCAAAGCTGTGAGAGGTAAATTGTGTGATGCAGCACATAGTCATTTCCCATTGCTGCACATGCACAGAGCTCGATACCAACCTGATTTACTCTTCCATTGATGTGTGCTGCAGAGAGTAATGATTATGTGCCAGAGTTAGTGCTAAATAGTATCTGACAAGGCATGGAAAGGTCTCTCTTGGAACAGTTGCACCCATGCTGGACACTGGCTGCTCCTGCCCTCGACTCAACACTGTAGACATCAAGAGTTCATACTGAACAGTCAATGCATGGTGTTGCGTAACATTGGGCCACCACTGGCTGGATGGAAACATGTTCCCTGTGCGCATGGCAAAACTATGTAAAGATATGTTAATCGGAGGATTTTTGTTTTGTTTGGATTAGGAGAACAATAATATAACTAATAAGATAACAATAATATAAAAATGAGATGTTGACATTATCTTCAAAAGTCTTCCTTAAAGTGACAATTAAAAATTGTGTATGTCTGGGAAACCGATAGCCCAACAACAAGCCTACTGACCACATGAAACAAACCACTGTTATTGTTGGCCTCACATTATTTCAATATATTCAAAGCAGGTTTAACTTTGACATGCAATAGAGCCTCAAAACATGATTTCATAAAATCATTGCGCATATGGTGAAACACGAACACGCACACATCCCTTCACCTTCCGTGGACAGACTATACGTATTATTCGGGTATTATTTGTAGTAATAGTAAAAGTAGTAGTAGTCGTGGTATATATAGTAGCAGAAGTAGTATTTTATCAAAAGCATGAGTGCGCCACCTGGTGATACAAAGGCGAAACTAGCTCGACTCAAACGTAAAGATGGTGGCCGCAAAATCGTAGCTCTCCTGAGTTTGGACTGTCAGGCTTTCTACCAGGTTGAGAGACCCGACCCTGTTCACCAATCATCGCCCAAAAACGTTACCAATTAAATGTTTTACGCAGGATGCAGTGGTTGTATAAGCTATGTTTGCGGTTTAGCACTGCCATTCATACTCAAAGAGACGGGACATACGAGCAGCCAGAGAGGAAGTGGTGCCTGGAAGAAAAGAGTCAGGGATTAAATACTTATGGTTGCGTTACTTAGTTACCGGGCAACGCCAAAGGACAAGATGGCGAAAACACAAAACTGTATTAAAACTATATGGAGGTCGTTCTTATACTAAAGTACAACGCAGACAGGATAAATTAGCAGTTATTTTCACACCAGTTTACTGTTGAAGCACAAAGCGTCTCGGCCAAGATGGAGGACGAAGAGACAGCGTTGGTAAGTGAACGTGTTTTAATGACAACGTTACAGCCACCTGGAGAATAACGTTAATATTACAACAATGTCGCAATGTAGCCGGCTAAAGGATACAGAGAAGTAGCCAACCTCCACCATAAATTAGGACCTTTCAAAGCGTCAGTTCATACTGATAAACAAGCTAAACACAGGGTTCATTTCACAGGGGTTATTTGCTACTAGCGTTAACTTATAGCTACTATCACTATCTTTAAACTCGTGAAAAAAGCAGTGTCTTCTCTCTGTTTTTCCGCAGACTTTGCTCAGGTACTATTGCTATGAAAAGTATTTCAATCACGCTGTGAACGCTGCAGCAGCTGCGCAGAGGAAATTCAGCAGTGCTCCTATCTACAGTTTTTTCCATGCATATGGGAACCTAATGCAAGGTAGGCTTGGAAACATCATGTAAAATAACAACAGCATGGGCGTTTCCTGGTTAGACGAGCGTCTCATTGTCATCTGTCATACATGCACTTATGTCTTTTTGATACTACAGATCAAATCCGAGAAGCCTCAGTAGAGTTGGAGACAATAAGAGATAGTCGAGACGTGTCTCTCTGCTCATTAATGGCCCTTGTTTATGCTGAGAAAAAGAAGACAAACCCAGGTAAGCCAGCACAGTCCTTCTCACAGATGTTTGCCAAAGGACCACACACACGTGGGTGATGATCTGATAATGAGTGTCTTTGTATTCACAGACAGAGAAGTCATTCAAGAACTCGATGCTAAGGTCAAAGAAGATCGTAAAAGTGCATCTCCCAAGAGTCTGTACTATGCTGGGATGTTTCTCTGGCTATTGGGGCGAAATGATAAGGCGAGGGAGTACACAGAGAGGATGATCAAACTCTCCAACGGCTCTAGAGAGGTGAGATTTGCATTTCTATTGCGTGTAGAAATGCATCAGTAATATTTTTTTCCCCATTTTTATGCAAAGCCTTGGAGTGTATGTGTTGCTATGCGTGTCATATCTTTGCACTTTTGTCAAATTTGGACTGATATTTGTTGTTCAGGGGATAATCCTAAAAGCCTGGATAGATGTGACATCTGGGAAAGACACCTATGCCAGAAAGGCTGGAAAATACTTCGACGAGGGACTGAAAGAGAAAGCAGATGTTTTTGCCCTGATGGGAAAGGTGAGATGGGAATTACAAATCCATATTGAAAATGTTACGATGCTATGATTTCCCATATTTCCTATGCCTTTTACAGCTTCTAATTGACTCTGTTTTATTTAGTGTGTCTCTTGCCATCACTGCGATTGGTGTATTTTAGTGTTTAGCTCAGTTATAATTTATCTTGCAGCTCTTTTGGACGGTACATTAATTGGATTATTCCTCTGTAACTTTGGAAATATTGCTTCCATTGTTGTTCCTTATAGGTTTGTTACCTTTAGACATTTAGATGTTTCACTCATATTAAAAAGTAAAGTAATAGTCATGTTTTGTACCAGCCTGTGTTGTATGATGACTAAGTGACGTGTGCTCTTTCCTAGGCACAATACTATGAATATCGTCAGAACTACTCCGGAGCATTGGAGATGGTTAACCAGGTCATTGTTAGTTTCCCTGGGTTCTTGCCTGCCCTCATCAAGAAGATGAAACTGTTGCTCAGCCTTCAAGACTGGGAGCAAACCACAGATGCAGCACACAGGTAATTGATGAGGTGGTTAGGAGGTTGCTCCCAAGTCATACACCGGCCGCATCTCTCATAGTGCAAGCTTGCCAGAGCTCTCTTCCCCAGAATCTTAAGGTTACAGTGTCTCTGGTGAGATCATAAAGCACAAGGGATGTAAGAAAAAAACACTGTCAGCCTTTCCTTAAAGCTCAGCATTCAAGTGCAAATGAAACACTAGTGTGATGCTTCAAACCAGGACATAATGATTGAGCCATTGTTTGTGCTTGTTACTCTGGACCTTGGCCAGTGTCAGGTCTTTGAGCCAAAGTGCAGAAGTCTTAACACAATTCCAAGGATTTGCTGCTTCAGCTTTGCTGAACAGGAGGAAGAGTGATTACTCAAGTTGTACCAAGTTTAGAGACTCTGTGGTGCCCTCAGTTGGAGGCTGTGAAGAGGAGGGGTGCAAACAGCATACAGTATACCTTACATCCTTTGACAGCCTTCACAGTTCCTTTTAGTTTTAATGTTATTTGTCTGGGAGCTCAACAACTGCTGCAGCAGTATCACCTATTCTATTACTATCAATCAAAGAAATCCAAGCTTATTAAGTCGAGGAGATGGACTTCATTCACAGCACCTTGTGTCATATTTCAGGCTTTTACAGAAGGATAAAAATAACCCGGAGGCACTACGGATGCTAGCTCTACATTCTTTATGTAGAGATGGAGATATTACAGAGGTAAAGTTCACATTATCACATTCTTTGAACTCATAGGTTTGCAGGAATCCAAATAAAATAGTAAATACTGGCATTTATGCTGGAGCTGTGGCAAAGTGCTGGTCACTTTACAGAAACTGTTTTTGTATCCCCCTTGGCAGTCAGTAAAGCAGCTTTCAAACCTCATCAGCAGCCTGGAGATCCTGGAACCACACAACCCAGAGCTGTTCTACAGGATGTCTCTGGCCTTCACCCGTGTTGTACGACAACTTTCAGTGTTCTCTATAAATCCTTAATTCTACACTTTTAGTCCTATTTACTTCTGAAGACTTTTTTTAACTTGCAAGAAATTTCTGCATTTTTTGTTTTTGTTTTTTGTGTCATAGTGTGGACGAAATGAGAAGCTGATTGAGCAGACGTTTAGGATGGTGGAAAGAGCCTTCTCTGTGGCATCGGGTGACTCTGATTTAGCCACAGAGTTGGGCTACCAGATGGTGCTTCAGGGCAGAATCAAGGATGCCATGAAGTGGTACAAGACTGCCATGACTTTGGATGAGACAAGTGTTTCTGCTTTGACTGGTATTTTTATGTTATTTTTTTATGTTGTCTAAATGACACGGACAGTCCAAACATACATCTTTTATTCCTGAGGATATAACTGTTTTTGTTGTTGTTTGTTTTGCAGGTATAATTCGCTGTCAGCTGATAGAGGGCCACCTTGAAGATGCAGAACAACAGTTGGAATTTCTCACAGAGATTCAACAGTCTATTGGAAAATCAGGGGTGAAGTCTTTTTATAAATGCTGACCAATGACAGCATGAAATGTCTTCAACTCTATTAAGAGTATCCTAGAGGAAGAGGCTTATGGTTTAGAATCATTAATGTGCTTTAAGACCTGTTTGAAAAGCATTAAGCAAAAGCACCTAGCAGGATAGGCAGCAGCTGCTCTTGTGGGTCTTCAGTATTTTCTCTTTGATCCAGCACACACGTAATATCTTTGCCAAGTTTTCTCTTCCTGTTTCCCCACCTCTAACTCTCTTCTTTTATCCAAACATTTTTGCTTTTCTTCTTCTTTTAGTTAATTTCTTCTTTTTTTCTCTCCACCCAATTAGGAGCTACTGTACCTCCGTGCTGTTCTGGCAGTGAAAAAGCACCGGCCCCAGGAAGAGGTGACCAATCTGTTGAATGATGCTGTGGACACACACTTCTCCAACCTGCAGGGTCTGCCTCTGGGAGTGGAGTACTTTGAGAAGCTGAACCCTGACTTCCTGTTGGAAATTGTCAAAGAGTATCTGGCTCTCTGTCCTGCTAAGGTACGACTGGCAGACTCATCAATGACAGTGTGTTCATTGGTCCTTAAAATGTGAATTCTGGGTTTTAAATTTGGGCTACGCAAACTTAATCCTTTTGTAATGAGACCCACCATAAAACAACTCTTACTGTTTTTGTTTCAGCCTCCATCCCAGGGCCAACCTCCTGCTCCTCAGCTGCAGCACTGTGCCACATTGTTGGATACTGTGGTCAAGATTGTGCCAGGTCTTCCTCAAGGGGTCTTCCTGCTCGCCAAAGTCAGATATCAGTCTGGTGAGCACTGCATGTGAAAAATATATATGGTTTCTTTTCTGCCCATACTGTTTTAAACTGCAGTGCTTCTGTGTTCCTTCAGGTGACGTTGACGCTGCTCAGAGCAGTCTACAACACTGTCTGGACCAGTGTCCTTCTCATGCAGACGCTCATCTGCTAATGGCACAGATCCATCTTCTGCAGGGTAACTTCACATTGTGTTCCCAGTCTCTTGAACTCTGCCTCAGCCATAACTTTGAGGTAAGATCACCATCAACATGGATAGTGTTATTGGCTGCTAAATGTTTATGAGACAGTGTGTGTTTTGGCTTTATTTGACTCAAGGCAAATGTGCAAATACATTGTAGCTCTGTCTCCTTTATCTGTAACATGTAGGAGCATGTCAGCTTGTCCTCAGTTAGGCATAGTGATACAGTTAAGGATGTAGGTGAAAGGAAGAAGAAAGTATGTGGTTAATATGTATCCAAAAAAGGGAACTGTGTCTGCTCAGTCTGTGTTGATAAGATATCAGTGTATATTGTATAATGTCAACAGTTAAAAACTGTTTGGTTATGTAGTCAAGTTTGGGCTTATTAAAAGCTCCATTGGTATGCATTGGTATAAATTATAGTGAAAGTCAGGTTAATACAGAATCAATATAATCAGTAACAGTTTACCTTGGTTGGGATGGTCAAAATTATTTTTGTGGTGAATGTTATTTACCACAAACTCAACCACAGGATTTTTACACGACCTGGACAATTTTGATATTGGTTAACTGCATATTCAAATGGGTCATGATTTCTTGTCCATTCAAGATCCGAGAACATCCGTTGTACCACCTGATCAAGGCTCAGGCTCAGAAGAAAATGGGTGAGCTGACGGAAGCCATTCAGACATTGCAGATGGCCATGAGTCTTCCAGGTGTCCGCAGAGCTGGATCCTCGTCCAAATCCAAGAACAAGAAGATTGAGCTCAGTCCTGCTGACTGTGTCTCTGTCTTCTTGGAGTTAGCTGAGGCCCTGTGGCTCAACGGAGAACAGGTAAAATCGTGAGTTTTGATGTAAGAAGGATTGTACATAATACTGTCCTGTTTAATTTGAAGCACTCCAGATATTGTCCTTTATGGTTTATGTAAAGTAGTGTTGTATTGTACTCTGCTATGAGTATTGTTTAAGCTTTTCCTCCCAGTAGTGTTGTTGGATTTGCACGTATGCCCGGCCTTAAAGGAAAAAATACAGTATAAACTTATGAATGGACTTAATATTTCAGCATGAAGCAGCAAAGGTGATGCAGGATACCATCAACGAGTTCTCGGGAACCCCAGAGGAGCTACGTGTCACCATTGCCAATGCAGACCTGGCCCTGCTGCGTGGTGACACCGAGCTGGCGCTGAGTATGCTCAGAAACATTACCCCTGAGCAGCCCTACTACATCCAAGCCAAGGAGAAAATGGGAGACATATATCTGAACCACAGGAAAGAGAAACGTCTGTATGCAAGCTGTTACAGGTGAGCAGTAAATTTGGATCCAAATGGACCAAAAAAAGCATACTGAAATCTTAAGAGTGATCTTGATGCAAGATAGTAGCCGAAACCTAATGCATTGTAAATGTAATGACAGTAATGGCTGAAACTTAATTAAATACATGACTCTTAGTGCACCAACATTTCATCCAGCAGAGTCTGTAGTAGGATTTAGAAGACCACAAACGTAAAGTAAATCAAATAAAAATTTAACTGAAGCCATTCATGCAGTAAAGAAGAAATGTGCACAGTTGCCTGCAGTCTTCTGCTGCTACTTGTATCAACAGCCGAGACGGAGTAAAGCATGACTGAACCTCAGACCAGCAGGGACAAACATTATGTCCTTACGCCATATGTGATGTGATATCTGTGTTTTCTCCAGAGAAATGGTGGAGAAGCTGCCCAGTCCTCACACATACCTCTTACTAGGTGATGCCTACATTAACATTCAAGAAGTAAGTGGGAGATGTGATTCATCTGTGTCTTTGAGATATGTTGTATCCCATATAAACTTCAAATTTGTGTGAATGTTGGCAAACTTAAAATGGTTTTAAAGGTGTTATATGCTTCAAGAGACTTCATAGAGATTATACATAGGGCAGTTATACAAATGTGTTTCAATATACTTCTCCATTCCTGTTTTTACCACTCATGTAAAGGACCCTTGCTGTTTTCTTATCTTTCCTTCTATTATGATGTGTTGGAGCTGTAATGAAGTCCATCATCAATGTCTTACTTTGAATGATTAGTGTCTAAAAGGAACACAGGACCTCCCTCTTCCAACCATTACCCTGCAGTTGAGAGCAGTATGATGAAACCAAATCATTTGGGGATGATTTTCTGCAAAATATAGAAAATGTACAAAGAAGGCTCCATGATGCTACTGTACGATGAGCCAGGAAAACATATAGTGATAAAGAGTTATCAAACAACACATTAAGTAAGCAAATCTACTTCTCCTCTTGGCAGAGTTAAAATGCATTCATTTGAATAATTTGGCCCACTGTCAGTAGTTTCCATGTGTCTTGGAAAGCCTGAAAAATTGTAGACTAATTTTCAAGTTGATAACTCAAATGTGAGCGGAAAAAGTTAAATGCCCTGGAAAACAACATCAAACAGCTATTTTTAGGATTAGACAAGAATCAAGTATAGTAATCCACAGGAGAGTACACATAGCAGCACACCATCTGTAAATTTAACAAATATAATAACAACTGTGAGCTACAGTGGAACACTGTGACACAGTATTTTATATAAAGGAGGAATTAATAGTGACCACACAATGTTTCACCCACAGGTGGAAGGGAAATAAGCATCAACCAGGCAATACTTAAGAAGTAATTTCAAAAAACAGTATTCTCTTTCATGCATAACCCAGGGAGGCAAACTGAGCCTCCCTAATGTCAAGCATGTTAACACACACTCTGGTTGTGATGTTTGGTAAGATGACGTCATTCAAACCTGAAATAGACCTTAACAAACTCAACCATCAGAAATCGTCTCTTTACGTAGCTCCTATTTTGAAGCACAAAAGTTTGTAAATAATGAAATACATTAAACCCCCTGAATAGTATTTACAAAAACTTCAAACCAACACCAAATTGCGACACCACTTACCGTGTGACGTGTTTATCCTCAGCCAGAGAAAGCCATTGAGGTTTATGAGCACGCTCTGAAGAAAAACCCCAAAGATGGTGCTTTAGCCAGCAAGATCGGAAAAGCCCTGGTCAAGACTCACAACTACGTCAAGGTTTGTGTTGTACACTCATTTAAAGGTAAACATGATTCACCCACAGAAAAAAAAACAGTGTTGACACAAAGCTGCTGTTACACAGGCAATAAATTACTATGAGGCGGCCCTGAAGACTGAGCAACAGAACTTCCTGCGCTATGACCTAGCTGAGCTGCTGATGAAGATGAAGCAATATGAGCGCTGTGAGAGAGTCCTGCATGAAGCCCTGGCCCATGAACCAGGTACTTAAGACGCCACAGTATTTCACACAGCGAACTCCTGACGTCAAACACCACGATAAAGAATAAGAGAATCTAGTCATGATGATAGTTTGTGCACAGATGTGATACTGATACTGCTCAAGTATAAACAGCTACACGCAACTAAAAAAAAAATGGTGTTTATACCAAACTGCTTTGAATTTGTAAAGCAAATCAAAACATCTTTTCACTATGTTTTAAATAAGGTATTTACTGATTATTTTTTAGCTGTTTATTGTTTTGTGCTGTTTCTAACATAACTTCTTCAAACCCACCCAGTAAATGAACTGCAGGCGCTCTCAGATGACTGCCGTTACCTGGTCCTGTTGGCAAAGATCCAAAATAAGGTTGACAAAAATGAGGAAGCTTTACTTTCCCTACAAAGAGTAAGTGTTTACAGTTATGTGGTCTGTTTTTAGTGAAAACTCTGAGTTTGTTAACCTTGAGATGAGGGAAACTCTGGATTTTCAGTTCCAGAAAGAGAGGTAGCTTAAACTCTGGGTCAGTTACCATATGAGTTTCTGTCCATCTCCTCCATCTTAAAAAGCAAGACATGCTGTTTGTTTTGTCATTGATTCAGTCTGTGTCAAAGCACATTAATTAGCACAGGTTTACTGTGTCACAATCAAAATCCTGGTTGGATATTAGTTTGTAACTCGGGACTATCTAAAGTTACCACTTTGATAAGCTGTCAGTTTGCCCTTACAGTCAAATAGTACACAGCATTCACCCTCAGCTCAGAATAAAACCTCTGCATGTCCTTTTTACAACTTTAATGGGTTTTTTTACAACGCTGTTACTCACATAAGACAGATGTCACTTTGTTATAGCAGTTCCACTAAAATGTTTATTGCACATCATGTGTAATCTCAGTCTAAATGGTAAAAATCTATGCAAAGCTTTAGACACGTAGGATAAATGAATAATTATTACTTAAAGTGTGAAAGATGGTCGCACTGATGGAACATCATTTCTATAATACTATATTTCTGAGTGAGCAGGATTGTGACGTATGAGTACAATTTTAAAGTTTTAAACAGGCTGCATGAAGTCTAAATTTATTTTAACTTACGGCTCTTTTTTAAAGATAAATGTGCACCGTCCACAAATACATGCATTAACAGCTCTGTGCCTACTGGATTGAAATGGAGGCTTTGCCTTTTATTTACATGCTGTCAGGGTGAATTGTAGTATCCGAGCTCCACTATTGGCTTTTTTTCATTCAGTGCACAAGAGCTTAACTAAGAGTGGATGTACGATCAGCTGTTCTGTTTCCCATCTCTAGGTTAGTCAACTCAGAGTTCAGGGCTAGGCTCAGTTTGTTAAACCTGCTTTTTGAAACAGGACCTTTGTAATCTTTTCACATTTTGTATCAAATATTTTGCAGCAAAATCTACTGGTCAGCCTAAAACAACGTCAAGTAGCATAAAGTAATGCAATCTATCTTGAATTTCAATATTCTTAATCTTGTTCCTACAGAATTGATAGGGATGATGCTTCTTATTGTTGTTTTATTCATAATGAGGTTGTGTTTTCGCTGCATATAGGCCCGGGATGTGCAGGCCAAGGTGCTGAAGCGGGTGCAGTTGGAGCAGCCTGACGCCGTCCCCATGCAGAAGCAGCTTGCTGCAGAGATCTGTGCTGAGATCGCTAAACACTACACAAGTCAGAGGGGCTATGAGAGAGCAGTCAAATTCTACAAAGAAGCTCTTGTGTATTGTGAGACGGATCGCAAGGTCAGTGCAGCTGAATCAAAAACGTCCTGTGTACTCACTGCAGCTGTGGTTAACAAGCACTGGCATCTTTTCTGGTCTGGTGCCTGTGTTTTTTTTTTTTAATTTGTGATCTTAGTTGTTCATTGACTTAAGTCTGATTTATCTACATTATTCCACCAGAAGTGTTGTCACATAAATTCAATTAAATTCATTCCCTGTGCCTAGGTGATGCTGGAGTTGGCACGGTTGTACCTTACTCTAGATGAGGTTGATGCGTGCCAGGAGCAGTGCAGCATCATTTTGAAGAATGACCAGTGCAACGAAGATGCAACTCTGGTTTGTTCTGGCTGTTTTTCACCACAGTTTTGATCATAAAATTAAAATAACTAATTTATAGATAATTATTTCTTCCGTATTTTTGTCCTTAGATGATGGCTGACATTATGTTCAGGAAGCAGGACTATGAACAGGCAGTTTTCCACTTTCAACAACTCCTGGAGCGCAAACCAGGTGCAAGACAGCCACGTTTAACATTTTCTTGCGGTGAATTCAAATGTGAATTGATGATTTGACCTTCTCTAAACGGAAAGCATAATAACTTACACCTGTTCCTTTCAGACAACTACCCAACACTGTCACGTCTTATTGACTTATTGAGGCGGGCCGGGAAGTTGGAAGAAGTTCCCAGATTTATTGATATGGCAGAAAAACATTCTTCCAGGACGAGGTTTGACCCTGGGTTCAACTACTGCAAAGGACTTTATCTTTGGTAAGTTTGGAAAAGCATTTTCTCGGAATTATAGCAACATCTGTTTTAAGATTTGTGACTTAACGTGTGCTTGCTGCTCAGGTTCACAGGAGAACCTAATGATGCCCTGCGACACTTTAACAAAGCACGGAAAGACAATGATTGGGGTCAAAACGCAGTGTATAACATGATTGAAATCTACCTAAACCCTGACAACGACACCATTGGAGGAGAAGTATTTGAGAATTTAGATGGTGAAATCGGGTGAGTGGCATTATGACTATACAGTATATGTTTTATTGTTGGAAAACCACCAGACTTCTAATGCTCACCTTTTGTCTCTCATCAGGAACTCCACAGAGAAGCAGGAGTCAGAGCAGGTCGCTGTGAGAACAGCCGAGAAGCTGCTGAAGGAGTTAAAGCCTCAGACACCGGGTGGACACACACAGCTCCGTATCCTGGAGAACTACTGCTTTCTGGCCACTAAGCAGAAGACCAATGTAGAGAAAGCCCTCAGTGTTTTCACAGAGATTGCAAACAATGAGGTAAGTAAACTCCAGATGGTGTGCATGAGTTACATCACTCTTGTGTAAATATACCCACACCAGGAGCTGTGCATTATTTCAGGCTCTCTCTTAATGTCAGTCATTCCATTTAGTTATAAACTGCATCAATCGGGCTGAATTTAAACAGAATATATACAGTTTATATCATTGATTGTACGGTAAATTTTACTTAATGTACTAAAGTGAAGTCTGTGTGTTTTGGTGTGAACAAATGGGGGGGGGGGTCTTGTGAGGTTTATCTTGTCTAACCAGGAATCTCTGGTTGAATTCAGAAAGACCACGTGCCGGCACTGTTGGCCATGGCGACCGCTTATATGATGCTAAAACAAACTCCTCGCGCCAGGAACCAGCTCAAACGCATAGCTAAGATGAACTGGAGCATTGTTGACGCCGACGAGTTTGAGAAGAGCTGGCTGCTCTTGGCAGACATCTACATCCATTCGGGGAAGTATGACATGGCTGGGGACCTCTTAAAGAGATGCCTCAATCATAACAAGGTCAGCCTGAAAATATTGTCACTGCTTGAATATTATGTGGTTAACAAGGCAGTCCCATTCACACAAAAACAGCTTTCCCCTTATTTGGGAGATTTGTGCTGCTTTCTAATGTAGTGGCCATCTTTTATGTACATTTCTTTGTGATAATAATTTCCATTTTTTCCACAGTCATGCTGTAAGGCTTATGAATATATGGGCTACATAATGGAAAAAGAACAGGCATTCCGTGATGCAGCACTCAACTATGAACTGGCTTGGAAATATGGAAATCGGACTAACCCAACGATTGGTATGTCATCCAAAATTACATGTCCAGTTCAATTTATAAGGAGACTGAGATATATTTCTAACATGTTGTGCTGGTTATTATTTCAGGATACAAGCTTGCCTTCAACTACTTAAAAGCAAAGAGGCATGTTGATGCCATAGACGTGTGTCATAAGGTGAGACACCTGTGGATGTTTACAGTTTGCAGTGAGAGAATAAATCTGTTCTTTCCCTGGAATTAATCGTTGCTTTTTGTCAACAGGTTCTGGTTGCTCATCCAAATTATCCAAGAATGAGAAAGGACATCCTGGACAAAGCTCGTGTAGCACTGAGATCTTAGTGTTGGAACTGTGTGTGAGTGTGAGAGAGAGAGTGAGAGATGAAGCCAGTACTTCTGTTGCTTTTATTGAATCCACTTTTATTGTTTGGCTTTTACTGTCAAGTTAAAAGAATGTGTGTTTTTTTTTTTGTTTTTTTTTATTATTTCTTTGGGAAAACCCCCTAAACACGTTGCTATGTACATTTTTTTTGAGTATATGAATAGTTGGGTGCTGGCAATCCTGAGGGAAATCACAGTGCAGAGGGGTTCAGACATGTGCAGACATTTTTTTTTCTTTCTTTCCTCACAAAGCCAAAAAAGCATAAAAGGATAGAAAATATGTGGATCTTGCAGAACAGCACTGTCTAAAACTCATAATTTAAGTTTTATTTTTCAGAAATTGAAACGTGCTCCCCTTCCTGTTAGACATCTGTTTATTTGAGACAGGACATATTCATATTGTATTTGATATAATTCCCTACTGTTCATAAAAATCAATATTGAAACGTTTTATCTTGTGGTGAATATCATCAGGATGCAGATAAATGCCTATATTTGTAATACTGAAAAGCTTATATTTCAAAATAAAACTATTAAGATCTGTCAAGGGGGCTGATTTGTTTTCTTTCTCACAGATTTGTTTCATGCATCAATAAGCATATGTGCCCCCCCCCCCCCCCCCC